TTGGTCATGTCACCAGCCAACTTTGTGGCTCAACTAGCCAGTAAGAGCTTAGAATACTAATTTTCATATAAGTTTTGACTGAACAGAAGGGAGGCTAGACAGATTTCCAAAATTCCCAGACTTCTAGTATTTTAATGAATTTCTCATCCAAAGGCCTAGAATGAAGTAACTGTCTGAAAGGCCTAAAAATGGATTTTACCCTTCTCTGCATAAATTCGAGGCAGGTTATGGAACATGGATGTTGATCTACCTCAACAGTATAACACTGTTAAATCTTTAAACCTTTAGCATCACAACAAAAGGGAACCTGCCTCGTTTGATGGTTTACTGTAAATCTAAGTTTTTATTGCCCGTTGTCCCCATGTACTGTAACATTTCTGTTGTGATTTTAATTAATCTGAACAAGGCAAGGCAATTTTATTTGTATAGCATCATTCATACACAAGTCAACTCAAGGTGCTTTACAGAGGCATAGAAATACATTTAGAAAGGAACATTGAAATGACATTAAAATCAAAGAATAAATGCAAGATATTAAGACATTAAAAACAAAGCATTGCATTCAAATAGATGTTAAAGCCATAGAAACAAAACATGAATTAATCAGTTAGCAGCTTTGTGGTAGTATTTTGAGGTACATGAGCTCACAGACAGGGTAAGGGGTTAACCAGGTAACTTCAAGTGTATTTTAAGGACTACAATGGTGGTTCCCTTCTCGCTAGAATACATCACCGTAGTAGCTTATGCTGGACACCTAACCTGATCTGCAGCAGGTTAAGTTCTAGATAAAAGAGCAAGACACCACCTATTCACAGGTCTGTTCTTTTATAAAATGATGTCAGCATTCCTGGAAGATCCCCGCAGGCCTCAGTACACAGATAGTGAAAGGGGAAGGTAAGAGTTCATAGAGTGAAACTTTTTAAAAAGTCATTGTATCGCCATACGATCCTAAAATAAGCACTGAATAAAACACTAAAGCCTTACAGCTTACCTGTTGACTTGATAAGGTTTGCAGTAATCCGGCTCACCAGTTTGGGCAAGAATACGGTTAAAAGTGTCTTACAGCATAGGAATGATTTAATGATGATTGAAAGTGACTGAATGAATCCTCCACATCACCATGACAAAAGGTTTTATTTTTATTGCTGGACTATTCATTTGTCTTTTTTGCAAGCAGCATAAAAGGACTACATTGACATCTTCATCTTTCATGTGGCGATGTGTGCGTCCAGGCTCAGAAACCTCAGGATGTCTTGCGGGAGCTGGAGGTTTAGTAAAGCCAAAAAAGGCCTTTGCTGCTGTATCAATTCACCCTGTAGAACAAGGGGCCCTTTCTGTCTGAACATGCAGCACAACAATAACTCCTTACTAGCAGGCCTCCCCACATGCAAGATCAAACACTGTTCGGATTGCTTCACTTGCTTCCAGTTGCTGCCCTCATCAGATTCAAATCTCTTACACCCAGCCCCTCACTGAACACCTCTGCACTTGACAGACTGGAAAAAAAATATTAAATCAAATCCCTACTACCTCCCACATTGCCTGCAGGCATCATTGTCCTATCACACTTGAACTTGTTTTCTGGTACTTATCCAGGTTGTTGTCTCCTAAATAGATCCTTGCTTGCGTTGTGCCCTCTCAGATGTACGTCACTTTGGATAAAAGCATCTGCTAAATGAAATTGTAGAATTGCAGAAATGAAAACATACTCTGGGTATGTTAGACTTGCTTCATAGTACTATAGTATTGTATTCTACTACCACTAAAAAGAAAACATGTGCTTCACAGCTCCATTTTGCCATGCCAACTCATTTGGCACACCATACAACATTGTTCCAGGAAAATATCCTTGATGGACCTTACGAGAAATTTTATATCTTTTGTCAGAAGGATGATGGGAGGAATGTGAGAGGAACTGATACACATCCCCTTTGCTTCCTTAAAAGAACTTTACATAAAGCTCATCTTCTGCAGCATTATTTTGCATTGTCAAGAGGCTTTATGCTTTATTTCAGAGCTGCAGGTCACACAAGTAACAAACGCTGTACATTCTACGAACATTTGAAACTGCTCTGTTTTAATGCTTAGATATGCACATTTGTCATAACATTGTGAGGGTCATAGACTGTGTTCACTGTGTTTCTGGGTTTTTCCTGCTTTTCTGTGTCTTGGTGGGCGTGTTATTTCTCTGCAGGCTGGGCGGAGCCGATTGGGGAAGGACTCTCTCATGCTGGCAGCTGTGGCCCATCTGCTCATCAGTAGATGACCTTAAAAGCAATCATCTCACAGGACTCCAGCGCCAGATGATTGCGATACCCCCCTAGTGGTACCGTCAGGCCGCTTAGCTGCTGCACTTATGTCGAGCCTTTTGCTAAGTCTGTGATTCGAGTTTCGAGTTAATAGTGTTGTATCTGTGTACTTCCAGCGTCCCTCCTTGGCTCCAGCACCCAGCTTTCATCCTGCATGCCAGCCCTTTCGTCTACGAGACCACATAACGGGAATCCATAGTCACGAGCACCCTCACTAGAAGGATCACCACTCGAGCACCTCCACCTGGGAACCTCCACGGGAAAACCACTTGCGAGCACCGTCCCCTGAGCACCGTTTCCTCCAAGCACCGTCACCGGGATCTTCCTCCACGACTGGCACCCCTGCACCGGATTCCTCTGCCTCCTGGTGCCCATCACTCCCCCACCTACCCTGAATAAAACCTGCTTCCTTTAACCCTTCTCCTTGTCTCCCTTTTCGTTCGGGTCCGCCCGCATAGCCACAGAGCATGAGCCGTCACAAACATACTGCGTATTGCCACACATTGCCACCAGCACACACAGTATGAACACAGAAAGCATTGTTTTTCAGCACATGCACCCTGATATACACTGTAATTATAATGTGATGAACAAGCAGCATAACTCAATCCTACTCTGTAATTATGGAGCTTAGTCCCACAGTTGTATTGCTCATAACCTACAAATGTGTCATTGTGAGGCAAACACCTTGGCCAAGAATCACTTATGACTTATTAGAAGTTACTAAAAGACACTGACATGTCATTTGGGAGAGCTGAATAGGTCGAAGCGATATAATTGATACAGTATATTATCCGAGTAACATCAACATATGTAAGTTTTATTGTTTATACAATATTCCAAGACATAAATGCAGTTTCAGGCTCTTTCTGACAAGAGTTTTGCTTGTCGGATGACACTGGCTGACAATTTCTTTTTGAAATTATCTGCTTCAGAGATCAAATTTGCTCAGTCTTGCATACTTTGATAAGACATTAGAAAACACATGGTAAAAATGCTGGTTAGCTCATGTTTTTAAGATGTTCAATGATGAAGTTCTACACACATAGGTTTATGCATATCAAACAAGAGCTTGGGTCTTAAGAGGTTAAACAAGAAACAGCTTGTGACTTATGGTAATTAAAGGTATTGCAGAATACAAGCTAAAACATCACATAAAACAACAAAGTTCCGTCTTCATTCTGTATCTGCACGGCCCTTTTTTGGGCTTGTCTCTTATTCACAGTTGTCACATCCGATTCCCTTATTTTCTTTTCTTGTCAAGCCAATGGTGATGATTAGTTGCACATGTGTTACAACACCTCACACAATCACATGCACAGTACAGAGCTGAACAAGTGACTCCAGAGTCAAGAAATGTTGAAGCATTTATACAGGCATACAAAAGATTTCTCTTCTGCTCACATCTGCTGAGCACCCTCTTCATGCACCCAGGCACGCGGTGTCCATTGTTCGTGCGCTGATTTGCGAGAACTGACACAACCACAGTTCTTTCATCAATCGGTGCAGTGTGCATGCTCAATCTTTGTCCTTCAGTGAGTGCTGCTGTTGGGGCTTGGTTACTTTTTTACAAGTTCTGTGCACGTTCTTCCTGAGTGGAAACTTTACAGAGTTCGCTCAGCATGTAAGTTCATACAAACAGCATTGAATCATTACATATAACGCTATTTATTGAATGATTTGTCTGTTCTTTGTTATCCAGATGCTTTCACATGTGTACGCAAAAACTGTAATGGCAGGTATAGTCATTTGGGGGAACCATCCACATTGTCTTGCTTCCTCACTGACGTCGTTGCACACAGCATGTCGTCATCTTAGGAGGTGACATGAAAATATAAAGAGAGAGATATACGATTAGGGAGTG